AGATCATAGCGGCTAAAAAAGCGCTTAATGTTGTCCGAAGGGGCAGTGAACAGAGGCTAGCTATAAATACATCCCCTAATAGCCTGGCCAAGCTTCCAACTTGGAGTAGGCTCTCCCCTAGCGCCTTCCCTGTAATGAACACACGTCAGCCATACCACCAAGGCTTATGTCGGGAAATTCCAAAGTGAAGATATTCATGAGTTTTCCAGGGGAACGAGACCCAGAGCCACCCACAAGTGCCCTGCCAAGACGAATGGAAATTGGATTTAGAAAAAGTTGATTAGAAGCGTATGGAGGTTGATTGCCTTGACAGCCTCATGACAAAGGAGCACAGATGGATGACCATCGCGATGTGATGGCTGAACCAAAACAGAAGCTTTTATGAGACGAGCAAACAGAGGGGTTGCAAATGGAGAACGTCAAAAAGCGAGTTTCGATCGAAACCAATTTAAAATGCTTTGAATAGCAAATAAGCTAACGCCAAAGCGAAATGCGCTCTTTGCCATCCACTTAAAAAGGGCGCTGACCGTGGTGCGCTCACGTCGGACTACTTTTACAGAACGAGTTTTCAGGAAAAAGAGCGTCAGATCGATTGCCGATGAGTCATGAGGCCGACTCGGACCTGTAAGCCTCTTTACGGGTGTCATGAGGAGCAACGTGAATCAACGCACTTCTGAGGTTATTTCAAGAGCCTCACGGAGCCTTTCAACATCGGCGCCACCGTTTGGGTTTGGGTGGCTTTCATCCTGTTAGTTCATTCAACCAATATGGTGAACAATAACTTTCTCAGAAGCTATGCTTCGAAAACGATCCAATATTCTTAAGTGACTCGCACGCTTATTTGGCCTTTTGTGGGACTTTCGAGTGATGGTTTGAGCCACAAAGAAAGCTGGAGCCCTCAGACAAAAGCACTGTGAGAGAAAATGGAGAATTCTGCTCATAAAGAACTCCAAGCAAACTAAAAAAAGGTGCTGACGTTGCCACGCAAAAAGAGACTCTGGTTGTGCAAGTGTTGGCAATTGGCAACTGCTCTCAAAAATAGGGAGGACACAACGTAGCGCCGATAGGTGGAATACATATCGCGAAACGCCTGACAGAATTACTCACAAACCATTAACCGCGGTATTTCTTCCCATCACCCGGGTGACATTGCGAACACTAATTTGTCGCCGCACCAAATCTAAAGGGGCGATGTCAACAAGGACATCATTTTGAAACATAGCCCACACAATCCAAAGCGCCATCACAGTCGAAAAAGTGCAGCATGTTAGAGGTGTTCCTAGCATCGCGAGGCGTCTTGGCTCATAGCTTGCGCTACACCCAGGGCTACCGACAAGCGGCGACAGCTCCATCTCCACTACATCATCGCAATACATTGTCACGAGTTGCCCTGAAAAAAATCAAAGGGCCAACCCCAGTTTACGCTCACCCTCTTCTATACAACAGACCCTTTTTTATGGACGTAAAAAAATTCAGACAAACTTCATTCCCGAGTTCCAGAGATAAAGTGGCACACCAGCGATCTGCCCGTGTGTTGCAACGATGGAGCGTCCTCGGAGAGATTCTCCTACACAAACGCTACGGTACAACTGCGTACCGGTTCCCTGCAGCGTACCAGTTCCCACCTCGCAGGTAAGACGCGCACACGTGTGAGTAAGAATTCAGTAACCAAAGTGGCGGCGATGGACGACTTCATAAAAGATAGCCTGAATATGAGAAAATAGCAGCTGTACAGCAACTATGAGCAATGAATGGCAGATATCAATAGGGCTGTTACACATACCGACAAAGCGGATATACTGTCCTTTACCAGATCACCGTGGTAGAGCGAACCAGACGTTCTCCAGTCGTAAATGGATGGATTTTTGGCATGCAGTGTAAGACAGGTGAGATGGTGATGGTGTGGGAAAAGGGTAACAACAAAACCAGGCTGTCAACCACAGGAACAAAATCATGGAGGAAGTGAGCTGGTGATGGCAGGGATAAGCAAGCAAGAAGGCAGTCGTTTCACGATGCTAAAGCGTCTACTTCACCGCTCAGTGCAACTTAATCCTGTAACACAAAGCATGTATGGAAGGTTTATTAGATTTCGAAGCGGCCGCAAAGCAACACTTAGCAGTGTCGACTCATTCGAAACGGGGTGATAAGTACAGATTTCGACTGGAGATGAGTGCATACAAGGATGAAGAGCCTGTATGAATTCTCTCTATGGCGAAAACTGTGTTGCTGCACCCGCTACGACGACAAGCACGGAGTGAACTCACACGAAACTCACTCCAGTTATGGGAGAAGTCTTACAAGTGATATTTGACATAGATATGACGATGCAGTATATCACTGACCTAGATTAGAGGAATAGTAAAAAACAATATCCAAACTTGACTAAACTATGCAAGGAATAACGGGAAACCAAACGATATCACAACATAATTACAATAGCACTCGGTAGGATACCCAACAACGAACCGAATATACATGCGGGCATGAGTTAATTAAATCATGCAGGTGCTAAAGTGTTAAGAGAAAAGGTAATATCCTTGATTAATGATCGCCATCTTCTTCATAAAAATGAGAGGATGATGTAATCAACGACAATTATCAATCAGTTGATAATCGCGTGCACATAACATCAGAGATCATGTGAAGTTGGACTCTCTATGCCATCTTGTAAGCAAGCCATATGGCGACCACAGAAGGTGCTGTGTAAAGTACAGCCTCGCAAATGCCTTCGAGACGGTCGGCGAGTGAGCGTGAACCGCATTCAGACGGAACTGGTGTGGGCGGGGAGCTCCACCAACTACGGTCTGCAGTGAGCATGGGAAAATTGCAAGGACTTACGAATGTAGGTGTCGTCTCTGAGAGCCGCTTCTCCAGCTTCTCTATTTCTCGGTTTCTGTCGACAAGCACACGATTCAAATTCCTAGAATTTAGAGGGTTATAATAATTAAGCCCGACAAATGGGGAAGAAATAACGCAACCAACTCTGCGAGAGCTTTCAATTGACGACACTGCCTCTCCTTGCACAAATCTTCATCGAGATCTGAACTGCCGTCATCCGAATGTCCAGCAGACCAATGGCCGGAATCCGGTCTTGGAGATCCACCTGCCATGGCCGATTGCCTCTCAAATCGCGTCGACAGCATAGCTCGCAATTCTGCTGATTCCTCACGAAGTCTGAAAAAAACTACCACATTCTGAGCAGTTTGAAAATAGCAGAACAAGTGACAAACCTGTCATTGTCTTCCATAATGCGGTCAAGCAAAAGCTTCACGTTCATATTCTCGAGACCACCATCAGCCTTCTCCTCAACTAAACGCTCCAATTCGAGTTTCAGACGAGAACATGCTGTTTCAAGTTCCTGCAATGTAATAGATCCAATCGTACTGATTGAATAGAACGAAAACTTTCCATGTAGGTCGACGTTGCGCTCTGCCATGATGCCACATACTCTTTGTTCAAAACAAGGACAAATGATCGGCAGAAATCAGTTAAAGAGAACTGCTATACGGAGAATCTCAAGACTATGTAGACACAAATATTCCAATTTTATTGGATAGAATAATTTAGCTCTGAAAAGACACTAAAAAAGTGATT